GCACTTGAACCGAGGTCAATCAGAACTGGTTCGGTTTGTTGACAGTTATGCATTATCTAAGCGCTTACTTCTAGTCCACGGATGATACTTTCCATTTCAGCAGTTACCTCATAATATATAGAACAGCTAGCATACAAGCAAAGCTGGCTAATACGTCGGGTCAACGCACCCAAATAAAATTCTGTGCGATGCGTTTTCTTTGAACTCAACTCATTGTTAGCGGCATTTGCATCGGCTAATCCAATGTGAGAAAGTTTTAATGGAATTTAGTTTCGACGATTTTCGCACTATATAAGTTTACTTTGAGGCTAACGGTGAATGCCATCTATTCTTAGTACATGCGAGTCTGCCCGGCTATCTCATACCCGCCTGTAAAACTCTTTTGACAAGCCGTCAAATCAATCGTAAAAACTTGTCTTAGCTCAGCGGGCAGCGCAAAGCAATGCGGCTTCAACTTTGACTTTAGACTAAAGCGATTTTGGCGTTTACTGGGCGTGACTCCCAAATTGTCGTTGAACTATGAACAAATTGAGGGATCAACATTGTAAAGTTAATGTTTTCAGCAATTTCAATTGCGATTTCGCTTCTTTTTTTCTTATTTTTGTGGTCACTTTAAAGTACATTTATAATAATATCCGATAGGTACTCAAGACACACTATCGAACGAATTAAAATCAAATAGAGCAAATCAATAATAAAATATATTTTTGCGAAATACGAAACAAAAAATACATTGAAAGCATTTAAGAATTAGTCTAAAAGTAATAAAAATATTTGGATTTAATAGAAACGCTTTGGAAAATGTAATTAAAACTAGATAATGCAATACTAAAATACAAAAGAATAAAAAAACCCGAAATATATGTATACACAAAAAAAAAAAAAAAAAAAAAACCCAAAAAATATTTAAAAAAAAAAAAAAAAAAAAAAAAAATATACTACTACTATATTACTACTAAATGCTATTATTAAATATGCTAAATATACGTGTATTCATTATTTTTATATTTGTTTAGGTAATGCCCGCATTGCATACGAGCTTAAAGCCCGCCGAGGAGGGGTGGTCCAAGCAGCATGAGGAAGATCTGGTCGAGCGCACGTTTATGGCCACGTTCGCCGCCTTCAAGTTTCCCGATCGCGAGCGGTTGCACGTGAGCTGCGGCGTGCAGCTCTGCAGAGGGAAGTGCCCAAATGTGAGTAGAGCAGAAACAATATATGTATGTATACATACATACATACATACATAGAGATATTTGTATGGCTATGCAAAATTAGCTAAGGCAGCAAGCAAGGCATTCCAAATGCATTTGAATTAATTGCAATGAAAACGAAAGTGTTGCCGTTGCTGCTGCTGCTGCTCGCGATTTTCCTTGTGTCTTGCTGGGCTGTGTGTGCAGCGGAGCGTATACTTAATGTGTGTAAGGCGCCAGTAATTAATGTGGTTATTGCACCGAAATGCACTGAACTGCAGCACGCAGTAGGAACCAACAACCAAGCTCCAAGCACCAACCAGCAAACAGCAAGCAGCAGCAGCAGCAGCAGCAGCAGCAGCAGCAGCAGCAATTGCCAAAAAATAATGTCCACGTCAAGTGAAATGAAATCTTTCAACAGCTGAATTGTCGCCTCGCCGAGCAGCAACTGCAGCTGAACGGGGATCAGCACCTGGCGCGCATTGAGGTGTTCAACTCGTTGGCCGTGACAGCGCCGCAGATCGAAGTGGATCGCCTGCGCTACGATCGTCGCTACAACATGAGTGGTGAGTGCCATCCGAATCGAGACTGATTGAAGCTGATGGGAAATGTCTTTGCAGTGGACGACTATGTGCCGCACGTGCGTCCTCTGGTGGGCGAGGGCACGCTCTGCCTGTCCATTTCGAAGCTGGCCATCTCGTTCTGCATACTGGGCTCCATCTTCCTGATCGCCGTGGTGGTGGCCATCTTCTCGCTGATCCGCACACGGCGACGCCAGCAGGGGCGTGGCTCGGCCCTGGGTCTGGGCATGGGCTTGTCCGGCACGGGCACGGCGACTGGCAGCACGTCGAACAACAGCAGCAGCCGGCTGCATCGCGCCGAAATATGCACTTCCATGTTCTCCTCCAGCAGCGAGTCGGCCCAGTCTGGCCCGCGCTTTGGCGGCAAGTTTCTGATGCCCTTGCCGTACTATCCAACCACTCTGCCCTATGGCCGTGTCTATTGAGTGTGTGAAAATGTTGAAATTAATTTGAAACTTTTTTCTCTATTCGAGCGTATTTTGGTAAAACAATTCTATAGACTGATGTGGCTTCAATCTCAAATATGCAATTCGTTTAACGAATTCTCAACGAAAATACCAAAATAATTTATAACGGCGCACATAAATACATAGATGCATACTTATATATATATGTATATTTAGTGGAAAGCGCCTCGAAAGTATTTTACATCGAAATGTTAAAATGCATTTTGATGCGCTTTCATTATATTAATTGTATTAATAATTACAAATGTCTTTTTTTTTTATTTAACAGTGCAATTATAATAAAAAATTTTAAATTTTAAAACTATCGATTGCTATTGTTTTTCTATTATTCATTTTGATAAGCTTTTATGGTAGTGATTGTAGTTCTTCTTACAAGTCTATTAAATTTCTATATTTTTTATTTAACTTTGCAATTATAATAATACAAATTTAAATTTAAAAACCTATCGATATCTTCTTCTACTTTTACTGTATTTGCGGGGCCACCTTTTTTTGGACAGGTTGGCAGTCTTCACTTGCAGACGATTGCTATATCGATAATGATATCAACAACAGTGGTCCCGTTCGAGACCACGAGCACGTTGCGGTGTGCGGCGCTCTTTGATTTGATTATAGAATATCGGGAAAATCTAAAGCGAGATGACAAAGACAGCGCCAATGGGGCGCAAGAGGCCGTCAGCCCGCTATTTCGATAGGGGAGCAGCTGTTAAAACCGAAGATGGCGAGGAGAAGCCATCGAAACCAAAACGCAGACAACAAAAAAGTTTCACAGGTGATTTTCTAAAAATTCAGTCGCAGGAAAAAAGAAAAACATTAAAGCCTAAGCGCCATGAAGCTACTGAGAAGCCCAAGAAGCAAAAAATACCGCAGGAACTACTGGAAAAATATTCACGTGGCGCAGGCGTCGACGCCATTGGCGTCAAGACGCGCCACTTCAAGGAGAAGCAGAAGCGAAAGGAAGTCTACGTGGAATATGCCACAGAACAGGCAGCACGTACAGAGCTTTTGCTGCAGGAGATACCTGGACAGTTGGAGGCTGATGAGGGGGAGACCACAGCGGAGTATCGCCAAGCGGAGATTGTGGCCAATGTGGATCTGCAGTCGGCAGCGAAACATTTCACTCTCAAGCTCGATTTCGGGCCATACACGATGCGCTACACAAAGAACGGGCGGCATTTGCTGCTGGGCGGGCGACGCGGCCATGTGGCTGCCTTTGACTGGGTAACCAAGAGGCTGCACTGTGAATTCAATGTGATGGAGACTGTGGCCGATGTGCAGTGGCTCCACGTACCCACCATGTACGCGGTAGCGCAGAAAGAATGGGTATACTTCTACGACAAGAAGGGCATTGAGCTACACTGCGTCAAGCGACTGACGCGTGTCAACCGACTGGACTTCTTGCCCTATCACTTCCTGCTGGCAGCCGGCAACAGTGCTGGCTATGCATCCTGGCTGGACGTCTCGATTGGTGAGCTAGTGGGCAACTTCAATACAGGCCTGGGCGACATACGGCATATGCGACACAATCCGGGCAACGGCGTCCTGTGCATTGGCGGCGGCAAGGGCGTCGTGTCCATGTGGTCTCCCAAGGTGCGCGAGCCGCTGGCAAAGCTGCTCTGCCATCCCACAGCAATAACAGCGCTGACAGTCGATCCAAAGGGCGTGCACCTGGTCACCGCCGGCCTGGACCGACTGGTCAAGGTGTGGGACGTGAGACAGCTGAGCGACAAGCCGCTGGCCATCTTCAACCTCCGTCTGCCGGCCAACGAGCTGGAAGTATCGCAGCGCGGCATGTTGGCGCTTTCGCAGGGCACCTACCTGGAGACCTACACGGATGTGCTCTTAGGTGGTGGCACTGGCCGCAAGAACAAGCTGCCCTACTTGCGCCAGCGCTGCGACGCCTTCGTGAATGAGATGCGCTTCTGTCCGTACGAAGACGTACTAGGCGTGGCCACGGGAAGTGGCTTCCAGTCGCTGCTGGTGCCGGGCTGCGGCGAGCCCAACTACGATGCGCTCGAGGACAATCCATTCGAAACGAGCAAACAGCGGCGTGAACACGAGGTGCACGCGCTGTTAGAGAAAATACCGCCAGAGCTGATAACACTGGATCCACACGAGATAACCGGAGTGGATGTGCCAACTCTGCAGGAGAAGATCGATGCCAAGCGGCAGCTCTTCTACCTGAAGCCGCCGCGTATCAACATGAATCCGCGCCACAAGATGAAGGGGCGTGGCGGCAGCGCCAAGGCGGCACGCAACAAGCAAATAGTCAAGGATCAACAGCGCAAGGTCCGACAACTTTTGATATTTTTTCTTAGTTTTTCTACTAAAATTATTTTTATTTCTGGCCCAACAGGAATTCATTGCCGAGGTGAGAAAGGCGAAGAAGGACGTCATTGCCAACCACGCCGAGGGTGGCGAGGAGACGGCGGGCGAAAAGGTCAAGAAGCCAAAAGCCATGCGCTCCGTTTTGGATCGCTTTAAGCCTCAAAAGAAACAGAAGTCCACAAACTGAAAACATTAGTTGTTGCTTTTATTTAGTAATTATATAGCTATTAATTTGAAATCACGAAATCCTAATATTAAGACAATTCAAACTATCGGAATAAGTCATTTGAATGTATGTATATAAATATCTGAATCCAGCTCAAGAAACAGCCTTTGTTTTGATGTGTTAATTATATTTAGTCTGGGCTCTAATAATAATAATATAACTAGGATCTATACATACAAGCCTATTGAGCTACAAAAATGTATATATGTATAAGCATATATTAAATGTAATGTCCTTAGGGAAACAGTCTTGTAGAGACTTGTTGAACTGAAGCAGTCAGCGTTAAGTCATCCGATGATAGCTTGATCAAGTGATCCGAAGGCTCAGTCTAGGATAGTATCTCGGGTCTATTCATAGCTGAAGATGGACTTCAAGTAGCTGGCGATGTTCTCAGGTGAATTTTTCTCAACTTGCTTGAGCGTGGCCTGTAGCTGGTTAACATCGCCGCATTTGCGCGCATGATAGAATAGATTCAAGATGCGCTTCTGGTTCTCGAAGCGGCTCTCCTCCGAGCAGGAGTCGCCCGTCACAAGCAGCCGCCCCAGGTTCTCGAACACCTCGGATGCGCTCTCCACGAGCGCCGTCATGAAGACGACATTTTGCTGGCGGCAAAGCGTGGACATCGCTGTCAAGGTGACATCGGCCACGTTTGGCTTGAGCAGAAGCTGCGGCAGGTAGCCGAGAAACTTGGCGAACTGCTCCTCGGCACCGTAGCCCTGGTAGAGGTCAACGCGCTGCACGATCTGGCACAAAAGGTTCAGCACCTTGGTACTGATGCCCTCGCGAGTTGTGTATTGCTGGTCCACGTAGGCGTCGATGCAGGCCTGCATCACAGTGCCCATCCGATGGGCTTGCAACTGCAGCAGTGCTAAGCCATTGTCCAGCAGCAAGGCGCGTAGTGCCGCCACTAGACGCAGCTGCTCGTCAGTTGACAGCGTGGCCAAGCGGCGCAGGCATTGATGGATGTAGTACAACAGGCAGCCGTAATCCTCGCTCTGATCGTCGTCTGGCTGCGGCCAGAAGTGGCACACAAGCTGGACCAGCGTTAAGTTCTGAGCAATGCACAATTCTCCGCCAGCCGCTGGTGTCTTCAGTTTCTTGGCTTTCTTGCCGCGCATGCTTTGTGCGCTGGCTGCCAACGGCATTTGCTGGTAAGGATAGTTGCTGTCCTGGAGAAAGGTGCGCATGAAGCTGACAGCATAGGTCCGTCGCATCCAGTCGCTCAGCTCGTGTGTGCTGTCTTGCTGTGTGGCCTCGTACTGGAGCACCAGCTGCCACAGCTGCGCCATGATGACCAGAATGACATTAAGACTGTCTGCCGCATCAGCATTGAGTAGTTGGTTGAGCTGCTGCTGCTGCTGTTGCGGACGCACCTCGATCCAATTATCGTGGAGCAGCGGCATCAACTGCTCTACATAGCCGAGGAGCTGCTCGTTCTCGGCCTTACGCATTCGCTCGCCCACAATGCTGTACAGGTCCCGGTTGTCTAGTGGTTGAGGGCGCAGCACATTGTAGTACTGCACTTTCGTGGCGTCGTAGTGGACGACGCGTCCTGCTGTGCTGTCTCTGCTGTTGGTTTGGCTATTCTGCTGAAGCAGCGTGCAGAGAATTTGTTGCAGGCGCAGCAGCACTTTTGTGCGCCACTTGATCGTCGTCAGCTGGCCCTGGCTCAGGCGCACGGTGAGCAATCGATTCGTGTGCTGTGTGTCGTGGCGTGTGCGCGATATCATGTCAATGAAGTTGCTTATGATGGTGCTTGCGCTGCGTTCGGCCAGCAGGCGCGAGGGAACACGCTGGAGCAGCACATCCAAGAGCAGTAGCGAGTCCTCTTGTATAGATGGCTGGACATGCGTCATGGCACAGCGCAAGTAAGCGGCGATGATGTGGAAGAAGGGTACAACAGCCTCGACGGGCAGTCCCTCGAGCAGCACATCGAGCGTTTTGAACGATTCGCGCCGCACCTCCTGTTCGATGTCTAAGGCGCCAGCTGCGATGCCCTGCAACAGCTCATTGAGATGACCAATCAGGTGACCGGCCTGGCCAGCTTTGACGGCATCACGCACATTGCGCAGCGCGTCTGTGCGAAACTTAAGATTGTGATGTTTCAGTCGGGACAGAGCCTCTTTTAAGTTCAGCTGGCGCTGGCCGTTATTCGCCGATAGAACAGATTCTTTGAGCTGCGTGCGGATTTCAATTTTGCGCACCTTAAAGTCCGTCTTGGTCACATTGAGGCCCTTGGGTAGCTTGGCGCCCTTCAACTTCACTTTGGCCTTTTCGGCACGCAGATTCTTCTTATGGTGTCCGCCCATTTAAATGAATTACAATTTTAAATCAAAACATGTGCTGCTCGGCAGCAGAATGTAAAATACCACATATTAATTAATCGAGCTATCGATATTTCCCAAAGCTGCTGTGAGAATGTACAACAGGGCTGCCACCTATGAAATATTGCCACCTTTCATACGGCCAGCGCGCGCAATTCGAATGTGTCTGTGTCTGTTAGGCATACAAAATGCAAATTGCGATTTTTTCATTTGAATCATTTGTACGATTTATAGCTTTGCACTTTGCCATTGCTGCACCCCTTATGAAACTGGTTTAATCAGATTTAAGTAGTTCTGTTAATTGAAAGGCGTGTCTTAAATGACTCTGCCAGGCGATGGCAATTATATAATGTATCCAGCTAGCACATCCTGTGGGCTCACTAATTGTTTGAGTTTTACGACCTCTTTGTCAATCAATTAATCAGGGCGTGTTTTTAAACTTTCTTATTGTCTTGTTTGTTTTACTTTTGTAATTAGCTTGAAATGATACCAACAATCAGCTTAGCTCACATTATTTCAGCCGACAAGCGTTTTGGTTTCAAGGTGAACTGGTTACTTAGTTGGTTGGCTATCTTCTCAGAATGCCGGTCGGGTTCAAAGTGTCTATTAATAATTGCTAAGCAAACATATGCATAACGCCCACAGATCTTGTCCGCAAATCACATTCCGAGTATTAATTAAAAAGTGCAGTGAGCACGTATATATATTATTCTTGGCATTATTAGCTTTAGTGTTTGGGTAAGTGCACATTAAATGTGCAAAAGGGTAACGTGAAGAGACAGCTGCACACATTTATCATAGTTGATGCACATTAGGCATTTGGCGACATTGGATCGATGAATTTTTGATAAAATGCAAATGATTTTCAATAATTGAGAGCCGTGTAATTTAATCCATCGATATAGTGTTAAATAATAGACCCCGTCTTCAGGGCTGCCAGCTGGACATGTTCACAACGGCTAATCACAATTGTACCAAGGCGTTCGCTCATCGTATCAAGGACGACGTGAGGCTCTTCATGCACGTTCCTGAAATTGATAACAGCAAGTGACACGTCAGGCAATCAGAGTTGCACAGATTTCGGCTCCCGACACCTGCCACCAAAAAGGCAAACACAATATAACAACAACAACTACCACAGCGACAACAAACAATAAGTAATAGAAAAGCAAACGGCCGTTAAGTCCGTTAAGATGCGTCGTAATTGCTGGCAACTCTATGCACTTCGTTTTTGGCGCGCTCTCCATTCGGCGACGCTCGTCGCGACGCGCTGCCCGACAGCCACTGTCTGCCTGCGACAATTCGCCGCATCAGTTGTAATCGAAGTTTGAACCTGCGCGGTTGTGCTTTGCTTTTTCGTTACGGCTGGCTGCCTGCGTCGTCGAGCCGCTGCAAAAGGCGTCCAATTCGTCGTAAGAGTTGCTTTCTAACTGTAAAAGACCAACGAATTCATTCATTAAGACGTTTTTTTCTCCTGCTTCTTCTTCTACTACTTGCTCGAACTTTGTTATTGCGTGTGTTTCGGCTAGTTTTTGTTTGCATTTTTTTTGGGTTTTTTTTTTTGTGCCTATTCCCATTGTTTCCAACAAATGCTATTTTTTTTTTTGGTGCTGCGGTGCTCAAATTTGTTCCTTCAATGCAACAGTATTTTTGTTGGCTTTTGTTTTAACAATAACAATAAAAAGAAATCAGCCCAACAAAAACAATTAGCCAAATTTTTTGTAATACAACAAACAACAACAACAGTAAAGTGTAAACAAAGCTCAACCTACAGCAGCATTAATCTACAAAGCTAAAAGAGCAACAAGGAGAGAGAGAGAGAGCGAGAGCAACAATAGATAACAACGGTGCCGCACGCATGCAACAGTTGCAGCTGTAATGACAAACAACAACAACAGCAGCAGCAATTCTAACAGCCAATCAGAGTGCTGTAAAGCCGGCGTTTCGAGCTTCACTTTCGACTAGCCGCCGGACATACACTTCATTTGCATACGAACTCTTCTCGCAGTGTATTTTGCTGTGAATTTGGTTTCTACTGTGCTGGCAGGTAAGCTTTGTTTTATAATTACCGATTAACAACATCAACATCGTCAACATGATCACGTTCAATGCAATTGGCGCCAAAAGCGCAAAACTTGTCTATGTATGTATGTATGTATGTGTTTGTGTGTGTGTGTGTTTGCATGCATGTATTGTATGTTTGTGGCATTTCCGTTTGATTTTTAGTCAAAACGTAACAAGAGAGTGAGATAGAGATTTTTAGCTAGAAAAAGCAGCCACTGCAGCTGCTTGCTGATGCATCGTTTCCAATCAAATGTGTTGCAATTTGCAACTCGCAAGCCGGCTCAGATGTTTACAGTTTGCCAAAGATTTTTTATGCTAACAACAGCAAAAGTCTAAAGTTATACTATTCGTTTAGGTATGTATGTATGTATGTATATGCAGTCTGTATATACATACATATGTGGTTGCTCTTTTTCTATTGTCGTCGTTGTGGCAATTGTGCAGAGTCATGTTTTAGCTTTGGCGTTTTATCACGAAATCTCTGTCGCTTTGTGTGCCACAAATGTTGCAAGCTAAATGTGTCTATAATTGTATGCGATAATCTCATTAAACTTGACCCCCAATAGCAGTAGCTGAAAGCGACTTGCTTGATTTCGCCTCTGATTCATAATCAACGCGCTTGATTGACAGCTCACTCTGCCCTTCGATCTCCGACCAATTTGCATGCAGCTGAAAACAGAACCAGAAACAGAATATCGCCTGGCGATTTACCTAGACGTGTGTATGTGTATGTGTATGTGTATGTGTATGTGTATGTGTATGTGTATGTGTATATGTTCATACATATGTATATCTTCGAGATCACAGCTGAACGCTACAAATGAGTCAGCCTCACGGCATCCAGAGGCAGCCTGACTGTTCGTCTCAGTGTTGGAAAAGCAGTTGATATCATAAATCAGTCACGAAATGTGTCAGAAATGAAAGTGTATATAGCTATACCCAATGACAAGATATATGTATATATAGATACATATGTATATAGTCTAAAGCTAATCAAGATATTACACTTTCTTATCTGATGTGGATATCGTTATAGAACTTTGCACTGAGATCTCAGCTGTTTGCGAAATTGCACAGTATCGAACAAGTATACGAAACACCCATGTGCCTCCTAGTGTTTACTGTGAGATAGAGATAGAGTTTTCTCTGTCCCTTTTTTGATACCGTCGGCCTAGTCTCCACTCTGACCGGTGAGTCGACTGCGCTTGCCGTCTGTATAACAAAATACTTTCCCTTTCTAATAGCGTCACTCAATGCTTGAGAGCATTATTCCTATTGCACATAACGAAATTATTTGCCAGGTCTATTCGTTTATTTATCATAGTCTCTGTTCTGTTCTTTCAATGATGATAATGATGATGAGAACGATAATAATACAAGAAGTTACAATTAATAATGCCATAAATAATATTAAATGTGAATGAAAGCCCATTTTACTTACTTAGTGAAAGCCCATTTTACTTATAGTATTTGTAAATCGCCTTCTAAACGCTATTTATTTGCTTGTATGGTATGCGTTTCGCACAGTTATGTGCTCAATGCTGTGAAGCTGTGACAATGAGTGTGGAAGGCACGTGTTTGATGTCTGCTTTGCTAGCTCTTTTCGCGGGATTGCAATCATTTTGGTGTATCTATTATCGGCACAGCCAAAACCGGAGATAGAGATGGAGATAATGATAGGGCGCTCGAGACAGAGACCGAGCCATTGGCGTCCAATTCCAAATGATGTCATGTACAAAAACGAAACGTAAAGAAAAAGCCAACAACAAAAAGATTCAAAACAAGAAAGAAAGCTCTAGTCGAGACTGCTCGACTACGAGATCCCCTGAAC